GCCTTTTACAGATGTTTTAGCCAAAATTCACTTAACATATTACGACGCAGCTTAAAATACCAAATAACTAGGTTTACTACCAGCCGTAAGAATAGTGCCTGGCCGCAGCATCTTGCGGCCAATGTGATCTTTCTGCTACGTGGCATTTTAAAGCCTCGTGCCATTTGAGACAGATAGATTCAAATGCTACGTGGCTAATCGTCAGTTTCTTTAGGACGCTATGCGGCTCTTTAAGGATCTTTGTGGAGACGTGTCTGCTATTAGTGTTGAAAAGCCCCCTCCGACCCAGGGGGCTTGTTGTTTGTGGATGCTCACACTGCAGCTTCAGAAATAAACGGAGGACGTTGGAGTGACACATTGCAAGGATTCATCCGGGGCTTCGTGCCGTTAAGAGGAGTAGTGGCTTTGATTTAAGAGGCCGAGTTTCGCCGGTGAAGGCTTCTTGAACTGGTGTTGCACCCGTCGCACCGAAAATTCGTACTGACCGGTTGACAAGCATGTCATAATTTGGTCTTTATTTTCATTTACTGTATTTGGAGCCAGATAAAGGCGCAAAAGCTGTTAAGAAATCGCTTTCGCACCTGCTGATGCAAACAGTACATGGGTGTCGCATTCGCAGGGATGCAATTTTGCAAAGTACATGGGGGTGAGAGAGGGTGCGGGACAAAAACAAATGGATGAGACTGCCCCCGTAATAAAATAAACATACATTATTTCTCAGATTTGACCCAACTTTCCTCTCAGAGTTCGCAGCAGAAGCGTGGTTTTCTCAAAATTAGTTGGGGATGCATGGGCTGGGCCCTAAAAAGAAATGACTAGTAAAAAGTGATGAATAAAACAATGATGACTAAAATAGGATTACTACATCTTTGGTAAGGAGACACAAACCCCACCCCGCAAATGAAAAGGAAACTGCACCCTTTAGGCGGGTTTTGTTACATATCCCTGTATCAGATAATTGCCTTACATTAGCGTCGGCTATCATTCAGTATTCGATGAACTGCTTCAGGTCATCCAGTTCAACAGCTACTCTGGAACAAAACCCAAACAACAAGTGATGATTTTGAGAGCAGACTACCATGGACACCTGACAGTGACGACTTTCAAAGAAGCCTAAACCATGGACACGTGGCGCGTTTGCTTGATGCGAGTCTGTCTACATAGTTACACACACCATCCCTCAACATCATCCCTCAACGATCAAGTATTTTGTCATCCAACCCAACAGCCTTCCTAATACCAGGTTTATTTACATCGGGATGCAGCAACATAAACTTTTGACGGCTGTTGGCCAGGATTCATGCCACATCCTGTCGTGTTTTTCAGTGCATTTTCTAAGCCGTTTTCTTAATGATAACATGGATTTATGGACGTATTCTGTATTTACACTCCTTACGTGCATGCATTCAATGGAGGTATTGGAACGTTTCAGAACAGTGAGGTACCCCAATTTTTTAAAGAAACTTTGTTTCGTTTCCACGAAGACGGCAATGAAAAACCATGATTTATCCTTTTCACCACCCCCTCTCTCTCCCTCATTCCCTCTTCCCCCAATTCCCATCTCTTTCTCTTTTTTCGAGCACATCACAAATGTCTACACGAGCCGCTCGACGCTGCTGGTACCTCAATGGGTACCTCACGCAAACGAACACGCACTTCATCTCGTCGCCAATCACACCGATACTCTACCTCGTAAACGCTTCTCATCAGCATATTAAAGACCACAGCACGAGCGGCATCGCTTGAACATGGCCAGATGACCTCACTGACACAACACTGAACAATACTTGGCGCGTCGTCGCCACTCCAACATGGCCGCTTGAACCGGCCGCTCCGCCTGTCCCCCCCCCCCCCCCCCCCGCTAGACGGCCCGTTCGTCCGCGGCGAGCGGCGGCTGGCTGCATCCGGCGGCGTCTTCTGCGGCGGCCGGCGCCTGGTGTCCCTCCATCGGCCCGTCGTGACCGGTCAGGGAAGACCGCCGTCGGCGTCGCCGGGTCACTAGACACGGGATTGGCAGCCACGCCTGGTCACTGCGGAGGTACGGTGCGAGCAGCGTCACGACACCGGTCGCCGTGCACGGCAGCCGTCGACCGGTCGCTGGACTGGTTAGTTGGGTTTTCGAGTGCTGGGAGTATATGGTTATGCATCAGGTGCGGGTGCAGACCGGTGGGAGTGAGTGGCCGGGCCCTCACTTCACAGTGCGAACAGTGTTAAAAAGTCACAGTCACATAGAGGGACACGAATTATGCTGCACTCTACCATATCTCGCCCCTTCCCCCCCCCCTCCCCTCCCTCAAGTGTCCATCGCTTGGTGGCGAGAAAGCGACCATTTCACGAACACCGCTGCTCCGCAGGGAGCCAGGGCGAGTGAGGTTCTTCATCGCTCAGTACAAGTTGCCTGTGCTGCCATTCCGTGCCTTGGAGCTAGAGCACAAATACTTTTGGCGAAAACCTGCTGAAAAACTAATTCCCATCTAAACAAGATGAAAAAGACTAGAGACAGTCTATCTTGATTAGTGCGGTAAATTGAGTTACAGACACTCCATCTGGCAGGCAGTTTTCCAATATTTATTCTTACCAAAACCGTACCTCGGAAAGTGACCACATGTGTACCGCTGGCACCACACTAACACCTGGTGACGTTGTGACAAGTGATTTTCGTAATGTAAATTCGATTGCCGCAAACACTTACCATTAACCATTTCATTGCTACTTTTTGAGGGGTTATCAAGTTACGATTTATATTGGCATATGCATTATACCTGTCTGTATCTGTACCTGTATCTGTGAGATTGACATTTGTATATAAATCAAACGCACCAAAGAGCGGAGCCGGCAAAGACTACCGTGAAACGACGGAAGAACCGAGAAACGTTTGACCTATTCCTTACAATCTTGTTAAATTCATCTGTCAAGCTGTCAATGTAGAATCGCCTGAATATCATTGGAAAGCCCATTATTGATGTTATGCACTCAAGCCGGTAGCACCTCAGCATAAGCCTCGTGCGATGTCATGCTTCAGATTTCATAACTGATTTTACAGCAACTTCCTGTCATGGCAACACAACTGTCTGCATGTCCAATGCGTGGCTGAACAAGAAGATTGTTGAGCGCACTTACCTGCCTCGAAATCATGAGCAAATCTCTTAAAACGTGTCATCTTACCTCGTATCACTGCTATGTACCAAGACTACGTCACTACTAAGTGAGTTCGCTTGCATCTGTCATCTGCTGCCAAGCTCGTTTCCAGGCGATTGAAACTTTTTGGAGCCCACAATCAAAAGCACAGGCAGGGGGCGAAGGGGGCATTCCCTTTCTCTTTGGTTTCGAGAGGCTCGAAGGGCCCACGGACTTAAAAGGCTGGTCTGAGGTCGCATTGAGGCTCCATTGACTCAGGGCTCCTGGGTCAATGAGGAGCCGCCACCCGTGTTCGTTCGGGATCCACCTTTCCTGACAGGGGGCCCTGTCGTGGCAAGGGGCCCTTAGTCGGCCAGGAGCAGTGTCCGAAGGGGCCCGAGGACGGGCACGAAAGGTCCCTCGGGTGGGGGCGGGGGGGGGGGGGCAAAGCTCGAAGGGCTAGCTGTAGGTCACAATAAGGATCCTGGCTCTACAATCGATGTTTATTACACAGGGTTTGCAATTACTCTGCTGGGCCCCGACAAAGTCCGGAAAAGGCCTGATTGATGTCGGTTTAGAGGGAGGGCAATGAATCATCGCAAATGAATAGCGCCGGCGACTATCCCATGCAGACATATTATGTCCGGTTCGTTCAGTTCATGGACTTTCTATATGCGAGCAGAATCGCCATTCTTCGGTTGCTTCTGGCTTCCATGTCCAGTCCAAGACGGAAACAAGCAAAAACTAACCAGCATGTCGATCTCTCAAATTCAAGTAGGACGAATCCGGTGATTCCTTGTGTTTTTTTTTTTACCAACAGGTGGTCTTTCGTCAACCCTGGTGCCCCCCCCCTCACATACACCAATGCCCCCCCCCCCCCACATACACCCACATCACATACCACCCTCACATGCCCCCCCCCCCCCCACCACACTGACTGTGCCCCTCCTGCTGCCACATTCCCTGTTTGGACTGAAATATATTCCTGTTGCTCCCATCATCTTGGCCACGGGTAAACATGCTGATGATAGCGATCTTTGACTCATACGACTCATCAGAGGTCGGATACCTATGTGTGTGTGTGACTTTTGGTCATCCACTCTCCCTTCACCTGTCATCGAAGATAGTGCAATCTCCCAGCACAGGCGCTACCTTACTCCGTTTAAATGGAATCTGTAGGATTTGGTTCGCGTAGAAGGCATAGACGTGATATGGTCCGGTCCGACTTAACTTCAAATTCAACCGTTGGATCGCCTTAAAATTAAATCGTGTAAGTGTACGTTACCGACAGTGATCTCTACTACCAGATTGGAGATCACTATGATCTCCAACTGGTGCTTTAGCTCGCTAGTTGGCGGATTGGGCAATGCTTGATAACCTCATGGCGGAGAGGGAGGAGAAGCGATCGAGGCAAGTGGGGGTTTCTTATAGTCACTTATCAAATTTAAGAACACTCCGGCTTGATATTAAAAAGCGCATGTCTAGTCTAAGACTGCACGTAGTGACAACCACATTAGTTCTATGATATAAAATTCATTCTATGACCGCTTGACGTTCTCGTAGACATAAGGCCGATTTCTATACGATTTTTAGATGTGAGCTTTGAGCCCTAGTCACCAGAATGGATGTTTCCACCCCAGTAGTACGGCGTGCTCGTCCAGGCAGCTCGTTCCCACGTGCCCCCACACCCCTGCCTCGGCGGAGCACCCACCGTCCGAAGTCAGCCGCCTCGGCGACCGTGGTAGGCAGGTCGTGTCCACTCGTCTCCGGCAGGAAGGCCGTCATGCCGCCCGCCAGCAGGCCGCACACCCGAAAATGCAGAGCGGCAGCGTGGCCGTGTCGTCGCCCTGGTCACCCAGGGGTCAGGTCAGGGCACGGTCAGGCTACACAGCCGTGCCCTCGCCATTCGGCGGGCGCGAGGCAAGGGGGTCCCGCCGGCCGCCTCACGGGCTTGTGGCGTGTCTCGTTCTGGTCGCCGCCGGGCGGACGGCGGGCGGGGTAACGACAGCTCTACCCGGCTGCCCGTGGCGTGTCGTGATGGGTGCTGGCAGAGTGTGACCGTAACGCGCGCCGGAAGAACCGATAACTGCGAGTCCACAGCAGCTTGCCTGGCATGGCGATGGGCTAAGCGCCACCTGCCACCGCGCGGGAAGTCGCGGGGAAAACCTGATACAGTATGCCAGTGATGACCGTTCCAAAGATAACGACGACATAGAAGGAAAACCACCTCCAGTTGCCTCGCAAAGTCGAAAACGTTATACAGCCAGACAGCGTGCTACACGCTCGCAACATCAGCGTTATTATGAGGCACTTATTATTTTATATAGAAACACGCTATTATTAGCGTTATTTGTCATCTTGGCTGCTGAACGCCCAGCTTCTGTAGTTACCAGATCGGCGATGACCGGTGCGAGCACGGAGCCGATTCTTCCGCTGGCTGAGGCCACGCCCACGCCTATCACACGCACTCCGTTTGGGTACAGCTCCGCCGTGTACAGGTACAGGAGCGAGAACGCTGACGCCGCGCCGAATTTGCCCAGCAGAGCCAAGGTCGTCGTCAGCCACTCCAGTTCTGAATTGAACCCAAGATAATATATGTAACACGTTCTCGGGAGCTGACAGACAACACGCACTCGTCTTGATTGCAAGCACCAACGCATCGCGTCCAATGTAAACAGATCTTTCGGCGACTGATATCCGATAAACTGAAGTTGTGTTGTGTCGGGGCAGGCACTCACGGTGTGCGCGAACTGGCCGAGAAGACAGCCGCGCTCGTGTGATTTGTTTGATTTACCGGCCGTCCCGTGTTGACTCGTGTGGATACACCGCCTACATTTGACGATGTGACCTTGGAACATACTTTGCAGCATTTGACCGTACAGCAGCATTGCAGGAACTCGTTCACTCAGTCAAAGAGGTGGCGGATGGCAGATCCGACTGGGATGGCACCTTTCTCCACACATAGCACAAATTCAGTCCTTCAGTTTCGTTCATTCCCCCACCAATGAGATGAGTTCGCCGTTGGGAAAAAAGATTCCAATGCATCAGTGAGCATTATGGAAAAAGACCCATGAATCATCGCCGGAAAGAACCAGCTTGTTACTTGATCCATCGCTACGCAAGCAACAATGACACAAAGATCCGCGTTTGGGAGGACAGTGCTGTACACAGCATGGGAGATAGGTACCCAACTTATAGCTCCTCTTGTCGGCACATGCCGCACCTTGTCAGGGAAGAACGCTGCGCATGACTCAGTGTTAACAACGGGCCGGCGCATGACTCACCGTTGGCCGGCACGAGTCCTGCGCAGATGGTGCCCAGTCCACTTAACAGGAAGGCACCACCTATCACCAGCTTTCGACCCAGTCTGAAATGGTCCAGCCAAGCCGTATTAAAAACACATGTGTACCGCGGTAGTCGCATCTCCTCTTCCGTTTGTGCTGTTTTACTCAGCGGACGTGCCCGGTATGGAGCCTTCCCCAACCGCACGGGAAAATTAACTGATTGGCGCACTTGCCAGCATGTGAAAACAGCTCACAAATAGGCACATAGTACTATGCGTGCATGGTCGACACTTCTTTGCTTCTGATGGAGGCACGTTTCTTTCGTAACGTTTCTCAGCTGCATCTCTGGCGTGAAGTTTACGACGTTGCCTAGGAAGAGTTGCCCTAAAACTGCGACATGGGACTTACGGATTAATGGTGAGTGCGCAGAACACGTACGACGGTATTTCGATCAGCATCGTGAGGATGAAGTTGGTGTAAACGTCACCTCCCAGGTCAGTGGACACCATGCCGATGCCGTAGTAGACCATCGCCACCACCAGCCTGGCGACAGCTTCGAGGCGTCAGGTGCGAACGGCATTGGACCGGGGTCCGCACGTGACGTCGAGAGCAGCGTGTCCGCAGGCACAGTTACGTAGCCCTTCGTCGACGCGATCATATAGACGCGTAACTCTGTGACGTGGTGCTGATGGCATCCAGGACAGGTGGAAACACTTTGCCATTCACTCAGGAATCGCGTTTTCATTATGACGTCACACAAAATATCCCGGACAGTCACAGAGAGTGCGGTGATCTGAACAGGCGATAAGCGTGGTTCTCTCAGTGTTGATGCTTACCACTGAAAAGCCAGGATGAACGCTCGCTTTAGGAGGACAGGTGACTTAATCACGCTAATGAAGCTTTCATTGATGGCTTGGGGCTCTTGGAGTGACCCACCGCTCCTCTCCTGTAGAAATTGTAGGTGACTGTTACCATGTTAGCCTAACACCCGGGTGGCCGGTTGGATACGCTCCCCTCGGGAAGTAGCCAGTTTAACGCCCCTAAGATCTTAAGAACCAGGAGATCTAGATACATCAAATTCACAGGATGTATTGGCCTCTACGTGAACTCACTTGAGTCAAAGTTTGGAGCTTCTAGATCATGATCTTCGGGTTAAATAAAGTCAAACAAATTAAAACTCCAGGTTCGTCTACAAAGTGCCTCCAAAATCTACATATATGTTCTCAACAAAACAAAATCACGTGCTCATTTAAGGTCAGTGACCCTGTTTGACATTTCGAGGGTCACGGTGACAAAAATCATGCAAGATTGCTTTGAGTTTTGCATTTGAGTAAGTGATGAATGTTACGCTAAGCATTAGCGTGATTATTTTTTTTTTTAAAAATGTCGACCAGGTTCATTTCAGGTCAGTGGTGTTTTCTGACCTTTTACAAGTCCATGGAAGATGTATAGTGCAGTTTATGTTGTCAATGAATTCAGGATAAGCACAAGAAACCGCCTCATGCAGCAAGCCCAATAATAATAAAACATACTGGCTTTGACCTTGGTCTGACTTTCATACCCGAGCCTAGGCCAATGGAATTTACAGATTCAATTGTGGTGTTGCCTAAAAAAGCATCTCAGAGAGGTATGGCTTCGTCAAAATTCCTTTGTTGCATCAGATAAAGATCAGATATACGATTCCCTAGAAATAAAACTTTGCTCAATCTATGACTGACTTTGATCTGTCGTATGCCACCATGCTTACAAGGTACACCTAAGTTGGATACCAAACGATCCGCTAATCACTTACCCACAGCTACGAAAAGTTGGCGCTGCTACGCTCAAAAACCATTCCAGAAAACCTCTGGGGGGTCAATTTATCCCCTACCCAAGCGCGCGTTCAACGGCATCTACACACCTACAGAGACTATGTCAAAGACAGCTGATTACACAAGAAAACAGAAACAGGCATAATACGTAAGCTATGCAGTGCACTTGTGGGGAACGTTATTCACCTAGAAAAGACAGTAGTAATAGCGTTATTGTCGGAGAAAAAACCAGGAGAATGGAGATAGATAGGGTTGATATTTCAGCAACATACCTTAATCGAAAACAATAGAAGAAGAAAGAAATAAACATTTGCTTATATTTCGATAAATGCATGTTGCCAAAATATAAACCTGGCTTTATCTCCATTCTCGTGGTTTTTCTCGGAGGAATAATGGCTGTTACTACTGTCTTCTCTATGCAGACAGGCATAACTCAATTTCCACATTCACCACAATTTTTATAGCAGCATAAAAAATGTGACTTGGAATCCAAATCCTTGCCACCCCGACTTTATGATGTACCAGTGGGCGTACTTGTGAATCAAACTATTGCGGGGTCAGGAGAACAGTGATCGCCTGCTTGGTACAGTAGCAGACTGGAATGCGAAGCCGGAAACTCTGCCATTTGATCAGAATTGGGCAGGATGAAACATCATCACAAATGTAAGGCCAGGAGATAGGCCAGGAGATGTGAGCCCGCTCGGCGTCCGCAAGACATTATATATATATATATAGATATATATATATATATATATGTATATTTATATATGTATATATATATATATATATATATATATAATTGCGTGGACAATTTAACGTACTTACCCTTTATTCCCCAACAGAAATATCGCACGTATGAATATTTTCTACCCTTGATTAAGTAGACGTTCATCACGTGGGCGATGCTACGCCACGTTGAGTGCCGCGCTGTTTCAGTCCTCACCGAATTAGAGAGACCCAAAAGCCTTCTGAGGTTTGCCTTAATGTTTTTAACAAATGGAGGTCTTGAAAAGTAAAGTTTAAGGGAATGTACCACATTCGAAGATATTCAGGTCAGGGTCAGATACAAAGAAATAAGGTCACTTCTAACCACTGACTTACCTTAGAGTGTTAAAGACTGCTTTAAGACAACAAAATTTTGCTATTAGTAAATGTGTTGATCAATGCATCATCGCCTGCTGATGTCAAGGAACGCTTCATGGCGTCATTTTGTTGCCAGAATAGTCGTGTCAGAATTGCAGACGGGCTGACCCACTTGAAGTGCTTCAACTTGCCGAGAGGTGACGGTGTGTTACTGAAGTCTGTTTGTAGAACTGAATATCGCTATGTGCTCGTGCTTTGCCTTTCCTTGTGGTGCCCTCGCATATTTGTCCGTGATTCTATATTGCCAACTTGCACTCCCATACCCCATCTATGATATTTTTCTCAACACGCTCCCGGGTGGCCTGCTAGATGCTCATTTCGCTCCGGTACGGAGTCAACTTGACCCCCCCCCCCCTTGAGATCTTCGGGAACTAAGAGAGCTAGAGACACCAAATGTACGTTGTTGTAGGGTGTGTTGACCTGTACGTGAACTCACTCAAGTACAAGTTTAAGATCCTTAGGTCTTGACCTTCCTGTCAAATAAGGTCAGACAATGTCAAATTCCAGGTTGGTCTCCAAAGTCCCCCAAGAACCTAGCTGACTGTTTCTAAGCAAAAACCCACATGCTCAGTTAATGCTAGTGACCTTGTTTGACCTTTTGAAGGTCAAAGTGACCAAAATCATGCAGGACTACTCTTAGTACTGCATTTGAATAAGCAACACGGGTTACGCTGGGCAGTATGTTTCTAAAAAATGCTGACCTGGGTCACTTTAGGTCAATGACCTATTCTGACCTCTAAGAAGTCCATAGAAGATGTATATTGCGCTTCCTGCTACCAATAAAGTTTAAATTGGCACCAGAACCTATCCCATACAGCAAGTCCCAGAGCAATAAAACAGGTTAATTTTGACCTTGGTCTGACCTTTATACCCGACCTTAGTTCAAAGTTATTTGCTCATCCAATATGTGTGCTACCTAAGAAAACATCGGAGGGATGTATGGCTTCGTCTAACACTCCGTTGTCGCATCAGATTGAACGATTCCCTAGAAATTGACTCTGCTAAAACCATAGCCTGACTTTGACCTGTCATAGGTCAATAACCTTACGAGGTACATATTAATTGTTGGTTCTTAACGATCCGCTGTTCAATCGTCCATAGCTAGGCAAAATTTGAGGTGGCTGCGCCGCGCCGTTCGGAACCCATTCTGAAAAACTTTTGTAGGGGGTGAAGTTAACTCCCCCTCAAGAGCGTGTTAAGGGGAACGTCCTACTTATGAGGATATTTAAGTAAGCATCAAATGTAATACAATAAGTCACATATAACTATTGGCATGCTTCAAGTGGAAAAGGCTGTCTTAGACAACATAATTTCTCTGTTTAGTAAATATGCCACTCAATACGTCATTGATTATGCTATCATACCATGCAGAATATTGATTGAGACCAAAATGGATGCGGTTGTATCTGGAAGTCGGACTCACGAACGCCAGATATCAACAACTCAACCATTCTATTTTAGTTTTCGCCTTGATCGCCAAATGGCCATTGAAATGCCATGATTTGAATAACGTTACCATGGCGTCATGAATGCCTGGGTGGCCTTGAAATGGTCTCCCCGAAATAGCCTGCACACATTCGCGGGCGCGTGAGCTCAGAATCTAGAGGGGCTTAGGTGTTAATAAGGGCAGGGCTGTGAACTGCACCAAATGGTCTTCAACGTGGCTAATTCATTGCAAATTTCCATACAAATGTGGAAAACTTCCTTCAAGTTATTCCATTCAAGTTTGATTTCCGTCATAGGTCGTTCCACTGCCTAACCCTCCCGTATCATGCCGCATAAAACGGATTGAGGTTTGATGCTTACGATGAACGCAGTTACATTGGTTGAGGGCCAACTGAAGTTGCTAGAAATGGTGCTGACGCACGCCAGCTCGGATAACTCGATGACCTTTCCTTGACTTTTCGTTGACCATGAGGACCACATGGCCAATTGGGTGGCACTATTCGAGTGACGTTACTATGGCGTCATGCATGCTGGATGACCTTGAAGTAGTCTGCACGAAATGGTTTTCACAAGTTTGCTGACGTTCTGCTTAGAAACCAGAGGCGGCTTAAATCGTTAAAAGACGTGGCTGTGAAGTGCATTGCATGGTCTTCAAAAGGTCTATTTTAGTCCAGAACCCCAAACGGATGTGAAACACTGTAACAGCCTCTTTAAAATATCAAGTGAAAAGGCTAGAAGACTGAAAAAGCTCCTCTCGGTACCTGAGTTCTCAACATTGGGTGGCAACGTCAAATGAGAACTTGAAAGACTTGCCTTCCATAGGCAACCGTTTAGTCGAAGTCATGCTGTCCCATTTCGCGTTCCGCTGCATGATAAGGTAGGCTTGTCACCTGCATCTCATCAAGCCCAAGGTAATGCAAACCAGTTACAAACAGTATAAATTTAGCTATGCCGGGTCATTCAAGACCCCATTTGTGCAAATTGTGTCACGTAGACTAAGCCAAACAGAAATATTATACAGACCGTGTGCACCACTGATCAATGCATGATGCAGCCATCACGATCGGTACCCTAGAGCTATTCGTTTTAGCGTCGTGTCATGCTTACTTCCTGAGATAACGAGGTCTATAAACACAAAATTTGATATACATGACCTGATCTGGCACATCACGGAACACACCACTTGAAGAGTTTCTGTCTCTATATGGCCTGGTGTAACAAAGGCTATGCAAACCGCACCTCCCACTATGCATAGATGCACAGATCAGAAGTAAGAAAAGGGCTTAAGCTTTGATTGATCAAGTAATTGAGAATGAGTTAAAAGTTCTTAGATTCATTTAGACATTTGATTTACCGAGAGTCGCTGATTGACGGACATTGTAGAGGTAGATAGCGATTATATTGACGCTACTCAATGCTTTGAGCTGAGATCATGCTCAATAGTAGGTGATCTCATGTGAAGAGAGGATGATGCTCAAAAAGGGATTATCTCAAGGGGATGATGCTTACCCGCTAACGTCCCATCGCTGTTTAGCACAACATCCTGGTACATAAAAGGTCGTTGGCTCAGCTTGAGAATTTTAAACTCATAATGCCGAAAACCAGGAGCTGAATTCCTCTCTAGGTTTTATCAGTTGAATAATTGATTTGTTACACCTTGACACTTATTGATTGGCTTTATTATTGAAGAGTACCTTTCTCTAGCATCTTTCAAAGTGACCGGGCGAGGAAACAAAGAAAGTCCGAGGGCTGGAAAAGGTGAGAAAAATGTTCTTTCATTAAAGGATAATCTGCGCAGGGGCGAGGTTTTGTGAAATGAAATGGTGATGCTGCGCAGGGAAGCATTGCTCAACTAAACGTGAACTGAAACAAAATAAAAAATGGGTGTTTGTCTTTACGAATTTGGCCCACCTTTTCAAAACTGTGAGGCTGAAACCCTACCAATAGGTAAGGCAACTATACCACTAGAGCGGTGCATGAGGTGTCTTGCTTTACTGCCGACATCGCTATAACGTATTGAGCTCAAAAAAAATATCCCGCAGCTTTGGCAACGAACGGCCGTGACCTGTTCAGGATATCGTCCTTTTGGGAACATTACGGCTGTTGCTGTTCACTCATTACGGCTGTTGTATTTTTTCCGCCACGGGCGCAGCAAGAGCTATCCCCCCGCGCTAAGGTCCGCATTTTCACGTCTTCACTGCATAGAAACGACTCCTTGAATCCACTGATATCGAGTGCTTAACATGGGTGTACACGGGGTTTTGTGTTGGAGAGGCCTTAAAGAAAGCTTTTCACTGAAATCCAAATTCAGCATACCGAAGAGACGCGAAGTTTATTGCATGACGTTATACAACCTCGAGTGTTCTTGATCTACTTATTTGCACGTGTCTTCTCCAAATGGTTTTGATGTAAGCATTTAGTCGTGCTCATATTGATGCATACCTAGAATTGGCCAGGGAGAGGCACGTGTCCCTGTGTTCACTATGCGCGTACGTCTCTGGTGCTCACTGAGCTCCATCCTCTTTGCCCTTAAGAAAATCCTAGCTGCCGCACTGTAGACACTTGCACGCAACAGACGCGGGAAGCCTTCAAAACGTGCACCTTGTCCGTGCACTGAGCAAAACGTACATGCATGAACACCGCTCTTCCAAAGCATATAATTACCTTCATGACCAGCTCTTCAGGAAAAGGTTTTCCATTCCACTTGGCCACGTTTCTTAGCACCTTCTCGGCCTTGTCCTTCCGGCCGACTGCCATCAGCCACCGTGGTGACTCAGGAAGAAAGCTGAAACGTCCAGTTTCACCAGTCAGCTGAGGCATAATCGATGTCTTTGTTGAAAGCTGAGCCCGAGTGCTGGTATCTTGAGGCTGAGTCCGAGTCTGTCGCATGCTTTTGAATCGCATTAGTTTAGTTTTGAGCCGTGGTGAATACGTGCAGTTCGTACCTGAGTCGCAGCTAGTTTAGAAGTGCACTAATTTGAGCCCGGGTCTGAGTACTGGTGTCTCGACTATGAGTCCAATGAGCCCAGAGGTCTGAAGGCACACTAAAACTCCTACTCTATGAGGGGTATTCTTGGCACGGGTATTGCATTCAAAGAATGGGACGTTGCTCAATTGCACCCCTGATTTTGGAAAATGTCTCACTTAAAGGCAAAACAATTCAAAACCGAACCGACAAATCACCAGAGCTAAAGGAATACAAAATCATCAAAGAGCAATCAACGTAATCGACTTGTGAAGGTCATTGTGTTGATCACCTTATGATTTTCAGTTTGAATCACACAAGGACTGCGTTTCAAGACCTCGTTTGAGAGCCTGAGCGTGACTGAGACTGAGAGGCTGAGCGAGCTATCTTCAGTCGTATGCGTGGAAAGTGGCGGCATTTGCTCCTGATCGGAATCGGGCCACCTTTTCCATTGGCCAGTCTTTGTGCTGCAACATTTCTGCGACGACGTACTGCGTACTGTGGCATTTTGGTTTGACCGCGGATCCAGTGAAATCTAGTGCTTACTAACGCCATTTAAGTGCGTTAGGCGTTGGACTAGTGCCTTAAGCGTTATGCCGCAGTGACCCCGAAAAAAAAGAACATGACAATGTTATATCTCTGCTGTTCTGCACTCTTTAGGGCGAACAACAGCCGCATCATTGGAGCATCAATTTTTATCTTGGTATCGATAACTACAATCAATTCACCTTTACACTCGATCCCTTCGACTCGCCCCGGACAGCTCTCCGGCGCCATCCTCGTCAGACCGGGGTGAGACGTGTTCCAGCCCGATCCCCAGGCACCCGCACAGAGAACGGGCAAAAACAAAAGCAGTCACGGGAAGCTCTTTCCGAAAGGTGATGGTAGGAACCAGCGTGCCCTATTTCATATCAATTCTGAGGCCACATACCCCATGAAATGGCAAAATAAATAGATGAATATCCGGATGAAGTCCTGAAGATATATTAAGTAAGTATAAGTGACTTAGTGAGGCGAAATGGTTGCACTATTCAACATCTCTTTTAATCGTGGACGACCTTGTCCATATCAGCGGCCACTTTACCAGTCAGAATCTTAAGATTGGCTGCCTGCGAAGGGCAAGATACGGACTGATTCATCCAGGCCGAGAATTCGGGTACGTTACTCTGAACATGTCCATTGTCCGGCAACAATTTGCGCTTACGTTGCGACGAATGACGTCTAGAACATGTTCCCATCTGTGTACGTGTAAATTCGGTTTAAATGAAATGCTTACAGCCCGACTTCGCCCATCTTTCTAACGCTGGTAGAAACATGAGTAAGTGATAGCAATATCTTACAACCAATAGGGGCAGAAGAGAACAATTGGCACCGAGTAGATCAGCTGCAGCGATTTCCAATCCTTGACGAAGATGGGGAACACTCCAGTCAGCGCCTCTCCGACGGCGAAGAAGGCATTAATGATGATGCCACAGAACGCGCGGGCATCGATGGAAGTCAGCTCCATACCTGTGGGAAACGCAAACGGCTGTGAAACGGTCACACTGCGAGCATGGTACCAGCCAGCTGGTATTTAACGTTTAACAGAAACAGCGGCCAGCAAACAACAACTTAACCGTCATGGTTGCATGCCGAAGACGGGGCCGCTCAACTCGCGCCGACGTCCAAGCGTCGCCGAAAATTTTCAGTTCATACAAACAACACGTATAATCCCGGAGAATCTGTTTAATTCTGCATGACAGGTCTCCGGTATTTCTGGAGTACAGTTCATCAAACCCTAGTGCTTAATGGTGGAAGAAAAGGGACCTTGGAGCTATTGATTGGTCTGCCAGATGACCAGACCAGATTCAAGTCGGTCAGGTATATTTTTCCGCCATATCAGGCATGCATGACAAGACATAAGCTTTCACTTCGATGGTGCTGCAGCTACGTGACTAGATTATAACGCGATTTAAAATTGCATATAAGTCTGTACAATGAGAGGTTTCAGACGCACTCGGGTGGGGGTCAAAATTACCGCCAAAGGGTTTTTCCGGATTGGTTTCCGAGTTTTGCCATATTTTGCCTACCTGTACTTTGCCCAAATTTTGCATAGGTGTAGGAAATTTAATAGGGGATCGTTTGGCATCAAAAACATTTGACGCACCTTGTGAGGTCGCTGGCCTGTGGCTGACCTAAGGTCAGGCCATGGTTTCAGTGAAGGTGATTTTTAGGGATTCGTTCAATATGATCCGACAGCGAATGGCTGGACGAAGTCATGCACCCCCGCGATACTTCCTTAGGCAACAAAGCACTTGAATGAACAAATTACGTTGACCTAAGGTCAGGTAAAAAGGTCAGACCTAAGTCCAAATCAACCTGATTTATTGCTCTTGGGCTTCCTGTATGGGGTAGTTTCTGATGTTTCTTCGAATTCATTGACAACAGGAACCGCATTATTCACCTTTCATGGACTCCTTAAAGATCAGAATAGGTCACTAATCTAAAATGACACGGGTCAACAATTTGTTTTAAAAGCATACTGTCTGGCATCGTCTTTGTCCTTTATCCAAATGCAAAGCTTAAAGCGATCTTGCATGATTTTGGTCATCATGACCTTTAAAGGTCAGACGAGGTCACCGACATTAGTTGGGCGTGACACTTTGTGCTTAGAACAGCCATCAAGGTTCCAGGAGCCCTTTGGAGACCAATCTTGAATATGACTTTGTTTGACGTCATTTAACACAAAGGTCACAACCTAGGAACCTCAAACTTGGACCCAAGTGATTTCACGAACAAGTTAACACACCCTATAAATTTGGTTCTCTAGCTCTTCTACTTCGTGATATCTCGGGAGGGAAGGGTCAAATTGACCCCCACCCGAGCAAAGGGTATTCAACTGGCCAGCCGGGCGCGTTTTAACTAGGACAGACGTATACATAATCAAATGGCCTACTTCCTATTTAGACGTAAATGCACAAATCTATCCAACCTGTGCGGGTTCCCGCGATGTTAACGAGCTCCGCTCCCTGTCCCCCCGAATGTGCGGATCGATCAGTTTGCTTGGATCCATTGCAACAGACCCTCTAGCGAGGAACTTTCCAGACAGTAAACATAAGGCGTCCTAGCCCGCAGCAGACTCGATGCTTCAGCCAGGCGCCGGGAGGAGGGGGGGGGGGGGGGGGTGGGATCGGCCCGCGCGGCGCGCACATATGTACCTCCCCCCCCCCCTGCTGTCCTAGCCGGCAGCACACTCGACGCTCCAGCCAGGCCCCGGGCCCGCGCGGCACCCACACAGCACGAACGGCACGTTGAAGAAGCCGCAGGAGAAGACGGCTGCGGCGAAACGCAGACCGGTGTAGACGCCGTAGCTGGGCGCGAAGGCCGCGGCCGTGCCCACGGTGGCGGTGAGGACGACGCTGGCCATCAGCGTCACCACCCGGCCCCACCTGTAAGGGATGGCGCCTGACACAACCGTGACCGCAATTCCAACCGCATTCCGCGTGACCGCCTGGGTCACGCGGAATGCTAGTGTGACGTGACATGCATATTGTAGCACGTGATGCAGTTGTTGCACTTTGTTGTTTTTTTAAAGATGTTATCCCAGTCTTTTAAATGGACGGATTTCTGCGATCGGAGCTCACTTTGAGCAGTGCTTGTGCGCACCCAGATATTTAACATTCGATCGCGCAATTCCAGGTCGGTGGCATAACCTGGTGGCGAAAGCTTAACGTGCAACAATGTTTGACACGGTCCGTTTCGCCCTCCGATGTCCTCTGATTTTTATCGCGGGCCGCTACCACCAACCACAGGCCATTTCCGTCAAGAGCAAAAAGCAGACGCCTAAAGCGACTCAAACCCACCCCTCCACGGTGTGTGGATGGGAATGCGGGTACTGACCAACCGAGCCACCGGGGCGGACAAGTTTTAGTCCTGTGTTGATGTCATGGACGAACGAAAAGCAGAGCGGTCAAAGAAGGCGGCCGAAACATGCTCGCGCTTCAAGGCTCTCTGAAACTGCGAGACGTTTGAGCAAATCAATCACGTTTTTCTGCGAACGAAAGAGTTGTAACAAAAACTGTATTGTTATTGCCGAGAGCCGGAGATGTCCACACCACTGAAGCAAAAAGACCCGATCGGGCTCCAATCAGCCCTGCCTCACGCCACCGGCCGTGTGCACTGTGCTGACCTGTCAGCGATGAATCCCGTCAGTATGGACCCGACAGCCACACCAACGAAAAAGAGGCTGGCGCCGAGCGGCCGCAGAGGCTCACTGTCGCATACGAGGTCAAACTGCGCGAGAGAACACCTTGTCATGCGGGTGCTACAACGAACATTGCATATGCCCTGTCGGTGCGGTAACAGATGACTTTACATTATGGGCTTCGCAATTTCCCCTATGGTGGCCACACTGATAACATGCTGCTGGCTGATGCCGGCATACAGGCGACAGTGCTTTTTCTTATCGCTTAATAACAAGCATGGCTACAAATACACGCTACAAGTTCGCCCCCCTCCCTCATGTCTTCAGAAGTAGCGCATTTGTTTTGTAATTGACGCATTTATTTTGAAGTCAACCTGCTTGTCGCTGTAAAACTGGGATGACATTTGACATGACGTCATCCAATTTCTGCAACATTGCGCTTTACTTTAAAAGCCTTGCTCAACTCACGCATGCTTGACACGAGCCGTTGTGCCATAACAATCAACCTTTAGAAGAAAAAGGGAAATGAATTTGGTAGCTATAACTCTTATGTCAAAAGATTAAATGAGCGTGATGGAATATTTCATCGGAGATCCAAGGTGTCGATAAACCTATGTGCGTGTCCAATTCTCATTTCACATGTTAGAGCATCCCTTTATATACTTTCGATAGGAGCCTGAGCCCCACTTCCAATTCTGACTTTAACCCCTCCCCTCCTCAATGCTACTTTGAGTCTCCTTAATGCATTTAAGGAAAATGAGAATACTGGGCCAAATAAATGAAGGAAATTTGTATTTTATCTGTTTGTCATCACTACTGTTCATTTGGACTAAAAAGTACTTTGTAGGCACATGACGTCATTGTTAGGCTTACTTCTCGATACGTTAGGTCAGTCTGCAAACATTTGACAAGTGTTCACAGGATGGCACCTGGATAACGATCCAGAACAAATGACTAGCATATGCAGATGACTTTTAAAAGTACAAAGAGGCTCAGAAAAGACTTAACCCATCCGTCCCTCAACAGTGACGAGTGTATGTGTTCAATCAAATGAACAAGTGTATGTGAACAAATCGCGTTCCCAGCACAGCTTGGTCAACAATTGTCCCTGCATCAAATCGGAAAATGGTTTGTCCAAGGGCCTTCAATGAGGGAGCGATATAAACAGCGCCTCCCGTGCCCCACTCGCTCGGCGCCTACTCGCCTCTGAGACGATGGTGCTCTCCATGACGGACGCGTCGTACACCCACTGACTGCAGCCGACGCTCTGCCGACCGAAACCCTCCGGGTGACAACCGGCTGTCACATTATCGCGTTTGTACACATCACAGCGGCTCCACTGGTGCTCCTCGTCCGGCGGCGTGCTGAACGTCAGGAAGTCGGCGCTGTAGGTAGCGTTGCTGCCGTCCTCACAGCCCTCCACCAGACATCTGCGGCAGCCAGCCCAGGGTCGCCGCATCGGCTCGTAAGAGGCCGATCTCAGCCTTGGAGCCCGATGACCTGGCTTGGTCGTAATGGCTGACAGACATTGCCGTTGACTCTCTGCAAACAGCGTTGCGACTCACAAGTGTTAGAACAAATGGCTTGATATGACGGACTCCGAGTCTAGTTTCGTATTATGAGTCTGTATTTATGCGGTACCAAGCTCCGAACGTATTGTGGCATGAGTTAAGATTCTTTTATGCTTCGTAACACACCTGGACCATTCGCTGTGCTCAAGGCTTTTTTGAAATGTTAAAAGGGGTATTCCACATTTAAAGTTTCTAACTGAATTAGTCATTTTGAAGACCTTTCGGTGCTGTTTACAATCCTACACTTCTTGAGACCTAAGCCCATCTAAATTCTGAACAACGTGCCCGCGAAAATGGAGGAAGGTTTATCGAAGACAGTAATCTCAAAGCTCCCTTGGCATTCATATTCAAATACTGCCATTCAATAAGCCACGCGGCGATCAAGGCCAAAAAAGAAATGTCGAAGCCTACATATTCGACATACGTAAGCACGATTTCCAGATATAATGGACGTTAATTGGCTCTTAATCATTGTTGTGCAAGGTGCGATGACGTAATCAAACCATGACGGATTGAGGAGCATAGTTACTCAGCAGAAAACTGTGCCCTCCAGAGTGACCTTTCCTGCTTAAAAAGTATGCTAATTATATGAGCAGCTGGGTTTGTTCACTTAAGTGAGCATGCTTTATCATATCTGATGCTGAATTGGATATTTTCGAATTTTGAGCATCCCTTTAAGTGCAATGGAAAATACTAAGCCCCACTGACCAGATACTTTGCTCACCATTCCGCTTCCTCTACACACTGCCGTCCTAGCCCAGGTCTAGCCCCTACCTAGCCCCATCTCATAACGCGGCCAGTTCCCTGCATTTTTTTGTAGTTTTTCAACCAAGCGCCACAACTGGAGCAAACCTGAACAAGAATCTGAATGTTGGAAGACGCTGGGGAAATCCATTTTTGAGACTCGTCACATTGCCGGAAATGCTCCCACCTAAAATTGATTGTAAAAAAGCTGATCACGTTGTTACGACTGCACGTTTGAATTGCTCCTCGAACGTCCATAACGACGCGCCTCCCCCACCCGCTCCTCACCACAAGCTGACCAGCATCCGCCAGACTACCATCCCCACCAACTCTGGCCACCCGGCGGCGCACGGCTCGTACCTGTGCTCCATGGGGAAGGCCGTCCACGAGTAGCCGACTGTGATGGTCGCCGCAAAGATGGACGGCAAGCAGGCGAAGAAGTACACCACCTTCTGGTAGCGGCCCCAGCCGTTCACCCGCTCCAGCACCTCCTCCACGTCCATGTCGTGCCGAGCCGCCGCTGTCCACGGCGCTGCCGAACAGGGATGGGGCCGCTGGGATCCGTGCAAGTGCGCGCGCTGCCCCGTGTGAGGCCTATTTCATCCGAAATGAACGGCATTGTTATACATTTCAGCTTGTCAATTTTAGAAACTATACACCCACACGCGAGGCAAATGTTATGTAGCTAAAATATTATGTTATGCACACTTTCTTCATTCATTATTCGGGTCACCGAAAGTGAGACGAATCGGGCGCGACGGAGGAAGGGGGAAGCGTATGCCATGGCACTTAAATCAATGGTTGGCAGGTAGACTGATATCTTGCGGCATGATGTCACAATTCAAACGACATTTCCCCGATTTTTTGCATCATTTTTGGACCATGAAATTGTTGCTGGGTAATATATTCAAAGTTGGCAATTTCCCTCTTGTGCTTCAATTATTTGTGATATGCTTAAAGTGGAAGATTCACTTATACATAACCAGCAAACTGAAGAGGAAGGAGCCTGTTAAAAATCCCCGGATGAAAATTGAAGATGGCTTCCTGAAATTGTCCTTCAATCCGCCTTCGTAACCCATGATCCACCGATGTAGTGTATATCTATATATATATATATATATATATATATATATATATATATATATATATATAGATAGATAGATAGATAGATAGATAGATAGATAGATAGATAGGTAGATATATATATATATATATATATATATATATATATATATATATACACACATATGTGTGTGTGTATATGCATGCATGTATGTATGCATGTATGCATGTGTGTATGTATGTATGTGTGTGTGTGTGTGTGTGTGTGTGTGTGTGTGTGTGTGTGTGGTGTGTGTGTGTGTGTGTGTGTGTGTGTGTGTGTGTGTGTGTGTGTGTGTGTGTGTGTGTGTGTGTGTGTGTGTGTGTGTGTGTGTGTGTGTGTGTGTGTGTGTGTGTGTGTGTGTGTGTGTGTGTGTGTGTGTGTGTGTGTGTGTGTGTGTGTTTGTGTTTAGAGGCAAGCACACAGCTGGGAGATCTAGCAGCTAGATATGATAGCCCTATCGAAGAAGCAACCATTTGCTACTTACGGTAGCCCTATCGAAGAAGCAACCATTTGCTACTTACGGCACCAACACCAATGCCGACTCGTGTTCGCACAATCCTCCTCGCGTATATTCTGGATCCCTCTTTGGAAAACGGAAAGCATTCAACAAATCTGCTTAATGGTCAACTATGACATATTTAAGGATGACAAAACCTGTGCAGGTCAGACATCGGCTAACATTAGTAAGAAGTAATCTGCCGGGCACATGTCTGTAAAAAAAAAAAAACAGACAAAAAACAGTGATTTGCATTGCCTTGCTTCCCACGATGTCCCAAGACGCACCATCAAGGCGATAGATTATGCGCGGTGCCAGCAAATGAAATAGAGGTAAATGCAGGACTCCAAAATTTTGTGAGAAGATGTTAAGTTGACAATCAGAAAGTTCTTTGAAACTCGGCATTCCAGCTGGAATGGTTCGGGAATGGGATGGAACCATACATAAGCAGCAGTGAATCCACCTCCAGCGTGGAAAGGGTAAGGTTTGACGGGTTTTGTTATTGTATGTCTGAGCGCTTGTCAATGATATACGTCGTATGGTTTTTGTTAGGAATTGATAGACTACATGGACGGCATGCAGTCTCTGACAATTGCAAGTCCATGACTTATTGTGTTTAGGATTTTACACAAACTAAATGATACAACTGTGCCTTTATATTTCATTGGTTGTATGTTACCATTAACAATAAGCTCACCTGATCGCGTAAAAGTGAAGCTCCCGACGTGTCCTGGTGCTTGAGTGACCGCAGCTCTAACAGGGGCTCACGACGTGTCCTGGTGCTGGGGAGACCGCAGCTCTAACAGGAGCTCCCGACGTGTCCTGGTGCTTGAGTGACCGCAGTTCTAACAGGAGCTCCCGACGTCTTCTGCTGCTCAAGTGACCGTAGCTCTGACAAGAGCTCCTGACGTGTCCTGGTGCTCGAGTGACCGCAGTTCTAACAGGAGCTCCCGACGTGTTTTTGTGCTTGAGTGACCGCAGTTCTAACAGGAGCCCCCGACGTGTTCTGCTGCTTGAGAGATCACAGTGCAAACTGATAGGCCCGACGGGCCCGTGAGTCCACCGCACACGGCTTCAGACGATACAGCAGTGGGTCTAGATACGGTATAAGTGGAGCGATTTGAGATGTCAATGTGCGCGGGCATGGTCTAAATGCGTGCCACTCTTGCAGCAAGGTTTCGCCAAGTGGACGTGGGGGGCGAGTATCCCCGCTCCATTGGCCATGGGACGAGGAAAGCATAAACATAAGTGACAAATTTCAGCGTATGCATATAAGTTTTTCTGGATTAGTATGGACCGAAATATTTATCCTGAACTGTTCATCCCATTCCCTCAGATATGATAACCACTGAATTGCAGCCTCTCTCTCCTAAAATTTTCTTTAAAGACGTTTTCAGCTTAATGTGAAGGTTGGTTGGGTAGATTATCAAACCACAACGTTTTAAGCTGTGTTTATTATCACGAGTGATCAGAAGCGCAACTCAGGGGCGTGGTCAGGGGTCTGCCCAGGAAAGGGCCAAGCGGGTTATAGGGAGTTCATTCAGCCAAGGGGTCATCTTCATCGCTATAGGAGTGCTACTTTCATTGAGACGAACTTTTTATGTCCAGGACTCCATTTGTTGCCTCAGGGGTCCGTTTTAGGTCGTTTTAGAAGCCTCGCGAGCGTTTAAAACTACCAAACGAATGAGCCGTTGGCCGTAAGGGGCCCCTACCACCTTCACGCAGTGACCATTGCCCTAAATGCCCCCAACCCTGCCCTTCCCCTTTTGGATACGCCAATGGCACAGCTTAGAACTTCGGCTATTGAATATTTAGCCAAGGGTTTCTTGATAACATCGTTTGACCAGTGTCTCTTTGCGTATTTAAATTTGATCAATTTCAGCATAAATCCACTGAATTCAAAATGCCGAAAAAACAGTAGTTCATAAATCATCTTATTGTGATTTTCCAAGCTATTCATGCACCAAGACCTGACTTTGCGACGTTATGCTTGACCCTGAACAACAGCTTTCGATTTACATTAGATTGGCTGAAACATCCATATCTATGTTATCATCATATTTGCAAAGATTCACTCAGGACACGTGAGCCAGGTTGACTTTGTACCTTCAGACGGCTGCCTGGCGCGTAATCTCAAGAGCCCGGTGGCCGCAGAGCGCGAGGGGCGTTGGATGCCAGCGTGACGACGTTCAACCTTGTGCGTCCGCCGACAAATGGTGCTGCATTCAAGCACACTTACATAAACATAGATGAGCTCTGTTCGGACACCCATAATTTTTGTGGACGAATGAAAGCTTTTGGAGACAGAGGGTGTGCCTGTGGCCGGTTTGGTACAGCGTCGGACACTCCCACCGATGCGTGGCAGACATGCGTGTAATATTCCAGAAATCGTGCTTAGGGGGTTCGTCGCAGACGTTCAGAGGGCCGCCGGCTGAAATGATCAAATCGGACAAGGGGCTGCTGTGTCACGATATTGCCTAGCACTTTGGCCCCGGCCCGACGGAGCCATGTTGACACCATGGCCCGACGTGGGTGCCCGACCTGACCCCGTCCTACTGATCTTTTGATTTAAGGCAGGTAGAGGGTATTGGAGTGGGTAACGTACGGCCCCGTTTCCGGTAGCTCCTGCACTGATAGGCTTAGTGGTGGCGACATGACCGATGCAAAGATCGTCGTCTAAGCCCTCCAACCCTCCTTTTCCTGTGTTTTTTGGTCAATCTGTGACGTCTGAGCCCATGCTAGGTCGATTGGGTCACAGGTGCTTTATATCGCTTTATAACGCAAACAGTTCTGCTACATCCATCGGATAAACGTAATTTGAGCTGTTTGACAACACTTCAGGTAGGTATCGCTTGGAATGCATGTAGCTGAATCCGGACAGATCAAGGTGAATTTTGCTCATGAGGACCAATATCTCCTCTATCTGCCGAATGGTAACCACCCACGTCGCGTTCAGACGATGTGATATTTAGCACAAAATGATAAGCTGTGTCATAGCACATTTAATTGACGAAGCAATATATGCATAGAATGCTACAATATATCACAATAAACACCATAATGCAGATCTCACGCAGTGACGGCTGCACGAGCTGCACTCCATTTGCACTAGACTCATATTGCAATTCCAATCATAGGTCACAGACGATGACAGTGCGGGTTGGATGCTGCGTGTAGACACTAGTGTGTCAAGGTCATGACCTAGCCTGACCCTTGACAGATCGGTGTCGTTTCCATGCAAGTGTCCATTAGGGAAGCTAATTGAAGCATGCACAATGACCATAAAGATAGTTCACACCAAGTGCCGTGGGAACGACCTGTGCCTAGCGGTACTGATATTAGCCTGTCTAACATTGATATATCCAGCGTGACTGCCACAGACATCTATAACAACTGCTGGCATTCTGTTCGTCAAAATGACGGTGATAAGACGAATCGTGCTAAAACATTCTTACGAGTGTAGGTGCCATGAACTATGTATAAAAGGAGACGTGCGTGTGTGTGTGTGTGTTGGTGTGTGTGTGTGTGTGTGTTGTGTGTGTGTGTGTGTGTGTGTGTGTGTGTGTGTGTGTGTGTGTGTGTGTGTGTGTGTGTGTGTGTGTGTGTGTGTGTGTGTGTGTGTGTGTGTGTGTGTGTGTGTATGTGTGTGTCATACGTGACGCAGCCTAACCTCTGATTGCCTGAACCGACATGCTCGGACAAAATTAGACTTCTCATTGCACGCGGTATTCGATTTGCACGCGGTATTCGCGCGGTGTTCGCGCGGTATTGTTGCACGCGGTATTCGCGATGTCGGTATTCGATTATATTTTCAAGACCAACAAGTAATGCGTCTCAATTAGCAACAAGCAAACTGCATGGTCAATTTGTCGAGAAGCCTGGCTGGTATAACCTTAACAGCTGAGTCATAGGACATGACGTGTTTAAACAAAGGCACTAAAAATGGGACAGGATCTCTAAAAATGTCAAAGAATCAATCCACCACCAAACGAAATTAGCAAGATGCCACAATTTATTACCAAGTTATGCAAGAGCACCATCCGGGAGGTTTGCGGCCACACACACGCACACACACACACACACACACACACACACACACACACACACACACACACACACACACACACACACACACACACACACACACACACACACACACACACACACACACACACACACACACACACACACACACCACACACACACCACACACATCATACTCACGCAGCCAGCCATCCCTGATCCAATTGTCAAGTTCTGCCTCGTACTCGGCGCGCGCCTCTGCCAGCACCGGGTACTTATCCACTGCGCTCAGCAGCTCACTCGGCGCGCCTGCACCCGGCCCACTTTCACAACATCACTCAGTGCAGCAGAACGGGGTCGAATGTCACTCAGAAGTTCTCCTTTTCAACCCCCCGTTTCCCATTCTGCTGCGGCTCCTCGGCGGCGGCAACACACGCGGCGCCCACTTCTTCGCAGACAAACTGCACGTCAGAGGGCGAGCGGACAGTCACTCCCCCGTAGAGCCCGGACAGCGCCCATCCCCATTACCTCACTAAACCCGAGGGGCCTTTCCCTGACCACCAGGGCGCCCACCACCACTGCCCGGCAGCCTGCCACAGCGTGCTGAATGTCCCCAGTGCCCGCACACTCCAGCTGGTGGCCGCTTACAGTCACGACGTGCACTGTTCGCCTCCGCCACCGACGGCACACGGACCCGTGCACTGGTGGCGCACGTACTGGCCGTGGCCGACGACAAGACAGCGGCCTCCGAGCTGCTGCCGGCGCTCCTCAAGCGCGCGCTCCGCGAGAAGGCTGCACTGCACTGGCGGACGGAGCGCGGTCGTCTGGCTGGTGGCGCCGCGCTCGACTGCATGACGATGACGCTGCTGCGCCAGGGTGGCCACGTGGCCGACTCGCTCGCTGCCGTCACCTGGCTCGACCGTCAGCGCAACGGGCGCGGCGGATTCGTCTCGACGCAGGACACAGTGGTGGCGCTGGCGGCGCTAGTGGCGGCCGAGACCGAGGCCGGCCGGCGGCTAAAGGCGGCCGCCCTAGAGGTGACCGTCAGGGTGGGCGCCCGACAAACTCCGCGGCGGTTCACCGTGACGTCCGAGAACCGGCTGCTGCACCAGCAGCTGGAGCTGCGGCCGCTGCAGCTGCCTGTCAGCCTGTTCGTCTCCGTCAGCGGCCAGGGCTGCGCGGTGGTGCAGGTCCGTCACGAGGATGGCTCCCGGAGCTCAGTGGGTTGTACAGTTCTTACAGACGTGGAAGCGTATTTATTAATTTTATGTTTCAAAATTTCACTGAAACACCAAGCGAATGCTCAGGAGTGACTCCACATAGCATGTACAGGGTGTAGACTGCAGTTATGTCCTTGACACGATGATGACAATGACATCTGTGTTGTGATGTCCCATGAAACATGCGGTTTTTTCTCTGACTTAAGGGAGAGTAGAGACAATTGTTTAAGTTTCCACTCTAAGCTCCCTCCTGCTAAAACCAGTGAGAATAGGACTGGGACTCTTATATCCGTAGACAGCTATAACTTTCCGCTTCACGTTGTAGCGAAAAAGATTTGGAGAGCACGTATTCGTGTTTTTGTAAATGACTTTTGAATGATCTCCTTCCAAACGAGACAACTTGCTTCACCCTGGGGTAAATCGTATCACATGGTTGAGGGAGTTGTTTTTTTTTTTGTCACAGAGCAAATTGCAATTACGGCACGTGGACCAAATGCGCTTATCTAGGTTATTTTGTAATTCCTCGTGATTGTGACATGACAATTTTTGCCCGTTTTATTTATAAGTGTCTGTTTTATGACTACCGCCACCTCGGTTTCGGCTGCTAATGTATAATCATTCATCTCCGTAAGCAATGCAAATGTAATCCCTTTTTCTGGAT